TTCTGTGAGTGCTGAACCAAAAGCATTTGAGCAGTATGACAGATCCTGTACATGGAAGTAGTTTGTCCTTGAGAGCAGAACCTGCAAGTGCTTTTTTTTTCCTTTTTGTTCTTTTGAGTGACGAGGTTTTCCTCGCCAATGGTCAACAGTGTTGCCAAAGTCATCCAGCTGTCTGATTTTCTGGGTTGGGATGAAGTATTGGCACCAAAAATGAAGGCTCTTCAACTGTGAGCGGTCCAGATGTGAGGAGAGGAAACCTGGTTGGAATGTCTGGGTGTTTACGGGCTGCTTCATGACTGAAAGACCAACACACAAGGACTCTATCAGCAGCTTGAGCGCTGAGCTGGAAGGACTTGGTGGTAGACCTGTGAGGGGAGTGGGTGTGCGGTTATCTGGTTGTGGGATTCAGCAGGCATCCTCAGTGTTGAACCATGGGGGTTAAGCTGGCACTTCTGTCAAGAATGATTGTAAATTAAGTTCCCCTGTAAACTGTTTCTGTGGGGATTTCCTGAACACATTAATAAACATGATTTGATCCAACAGTTTATGGAGAGAGACTTGTGTTTTTAGTGCTGTGTGAAGGTGAAATTTAAGACCAAATGCCTACAAAGTTAATGTCATCACCCTTAACTGCACTCCTGCTACTAATGATCATTTTCATTAAAGATTAGTTCTTTTAATTGGTCTGTAAAATAATGAAATAATCGATCTGATGCTTATTATCCACTGGCACTTTTTCACATTTTTCTGTCCTGTCACTCTCTTAAATGTCTTAAAGTGCTTGACAACCTCACAGAAACATTTATGTATCAGAAAACCTTTTTTATCGGGAGCAACAGTGAGATTATTCTTATTGTAAGAATGCACAATGAATATAGAAAATGAGATGACTTCTGGCCAATGCTACATTCAAACATGCATTAAGACTTAAATATTGCCTTTAGGTTAGAAAACTTATGGCTCCCTGTGTTACAGTGTCTGGAGGTGTGTTCTCAATCTACAAGAGGCTGAAAGACAAAATGAGGAGGAGATGATGCTGGTTAAACTGAACATGTCACAGTGAAAAGACAAGTTGGTCTCCAGTTAATCCGACTTAACCACCAGGTGGAGACAAATAGTCAGAGGTGCAGACTGCATTTTGGCAACTTTTCTGTGTTGTTCCGATGCAAACTAAAGAAATAAACATGAGAATTCCAAAGAATTTGTGATTGCAACAGTTGCTGTGAGAAGTGGTGAGTCATCTGACAGAAATGATGGCCTCAGTTAGGGGGCGGGGCTAGAGTGCACACCTGACGCACAGACTCCTCCCTCCCCTTGGTTGACGTATTGTTGTTGGCACTTGTATTTGCGCGATACCTTGCTTGATTTGCCTTACATAAGAGAAAAAAAAAAGACAAACAAACTTTGCCTTACCGTTGGTGTTAACACGATGGCTGAGAGCTGAAACCCGCTGAGTGACACGAAACAGTTCCCAGGTAGGTTTTTACAATCTTTTCACAGATGCAAACAAGCTAGTCCTAGCAGGTGCAGGCTGGTTTTAACCGCGAATATAAAGTTAATGTAAAAAAGATGGACATCGCCGATGTTACCCGAATTTATCGTTGTGTTAGTATCAGCTTAATAAAAGTGTGTTTTGATAGACAGAGCTTTGTTCAGGACAGGAGTTTCGTTTCGTTCAGTTTCAGTATGACGTTTGGCGCTGTGTCTACACCTGCGTTAGTTAGGTTGTAGGCTTTCAGGTGTATACGGGGTTAGTTTGTACACGTGTGTTTCCAGATATGATGAGACAGGTAATCAAACATGTCTTGGCATAAGCTTTTAGAGTTTAAAGTGGACTTTGAAACTGTAGGCTGCTCCTTCACAGCAGGACCCAAACTGCACTTTGTTTCCCCCACCATGTGTAAAATAATGTTTCACTAGGAACCTTATGAAAGTTAATTACCAACTCAGTTTGTCCTTCGAGCTCTTTCTCTGCGTTCTGTCGGTTTTTGGACTAAATGGTGAACCTGTTAATCGAGAAAATAATTAAGATCGATTAATAATGCCTTAAACCTGATTAATCAAATTTAGTAATTGCTGAATTAATACAGGTAGGTTGATTAATTGATTTGTCAACACAAAAGTATTGAGTAGTTATTAATCATATGAATGGATTAATTAAGACACATTTTCACCCATTTTAGTTTCTCGACTTTTAAGATTTGTTTTCTTTCATCTGTATCATTTAAATTGAAGGTATTTGAGTTTTGTATTGTTGGTTGGAGAAAACAAGATGTTTGACGATATGATCTTATGCTTAAGCAGATTATACAGGGCTCAGTGCTGGTCCTCTGTTTAAAACAACCAGTAGCCGGCCTTTACACCCCGGCCTGTAAAAGTAAAAGTGTGGGTGTAAACCAGCAGGATGCCTGATCTGCAGAGCAACAATAAGCCGACAACAAACGCTGTCTTCTGGGCATCCTGTTAGAGAGAAGAGCGCATTCACGCTCCATACAATAATGATAGTGTTTGTGTTGAACTTGGACAAATGAATTTGCCAGCACCATTACAATGAGATTTGGCTGAAATATCACAACTTAGCCTTAATAATAATAATATCCTTATTCTGATTAAGGAAAATATGACTAAGTGACTTTGCTGTACTAGTCACTTGTATGTTAATGTGCTTTTTGTACTGTAGATGTTATTTCCTCATTGCAGTAATTTCGTCCAACACCAACGGGCTGTTCTCTTTGTGTATTTCTCTTTAAGGCGACACTAAATCAAATGCTGATTTCAGGTAATCACCTGCAGAGCTGAAAATATCACCACTGCTTAAGTTTGATACCAAGCACGGCATTGAAAATATCTGATAAAAACAGACAGGCTTTTTGTCTCCAGTTCATTCAGTTGATTTAATTTTCTGTGGAAATAATTGAACACATCAAGAGCTGAAACAAATATTTGGTCGAGGATTCTCCATGGAGCTGCGACAAATAACCTAGTTTATTGACATAAAAAGGTCAGAAAGTACTGTGATAATTTTCCTTTTTGCCATTTTTTTTTCAGCAACAATAGTTAAAAATTCTCCTGTGTTTCATTGTCAGAAATATCAGGATTTGTTCTTTTTCTCTGTTTAAAGTCACAGTGAATCTTTGGGTTTGGGGCTAGTTCAGTTTCAAGGTGTCATTTTAGCTGCTGCAACTTAAGATTGTTATTAATGGAAAAAAAGTAATATTTGATAATGAAAATAATCGCTGGAGTTGTAGATTCTTCAACCAACAGTTTTTAAATTTAATTTTTTAGTTTTTGAGTAGAAGTGACAGATTTTTACTTTTCTTTTATTGAAATGCACATGAATTTGCTAAATACCCTCCTCCTCTCCCTTAGGTAACATGATGGAGGTGGCAGGTTCGTGGACAGAAGTATTCGAGGGCTCGGAGAGGGCGGGGGTGTCCGGGGGAAGAGAGGCATTGCTGGGGGGCTCCACCCTGTCTCTGGCTCCTCTTGTGTCTGATTCTCCGTCCGTTTGCTGCTCCCAGCCCATCCTAATCACCGGCAGCAGGTAGGACTGGCAGGAAGGTGACAGCGTTACTCACTAGGACCCATGATGAACGTGTTCACTATGCAACACACATATGCACACACCTACACACACACACACACACACACACACACACAATCAGTAGATCTCTGAAGGTGGGGGTGGATATTGACTCAGGTCTGTGACTCAGCCTCAGAACATACGTCATCTGCTGTTTAGTTTTTGTTAGCTATTACCCAGATACTCCCAGCCTGAAAAACACAGCGGCTGTAGACTGAGCTGGGTGTGTGTGTGTGTGTGTGTTCTGATATTAGAGACACTTCTTCTAGATGGATATTAGTACCTACTTTAGTATAAAATGGTAAACTACATATATTTATCCTTACACCATGTTCTGTCTCCTAATGAATCCCAGCTTGGCTATTTTTAGTGGCAGATTAAGGCACATTGGGCTTCACCAGCGATAGTTCATAGTAGGATCAATGCTTTGTTGATCTTGTTTTGTTTCATGGGATTTGTTGACAATAAGAAAAATACAGAACTAACAGCATGTAGTTAAGAATTGACTGTATGAGAATTTGTTCTGGTTTTGATTTTTGTGTCCCTTTATTCATTTCTATGACTTTTTTTTCAGGGTGAAAGGCATAGAGTCGTTCTCTTCCTCTGCCCCATCTATACCCAACCCCTTTCCAGAGCTGTGCAGCCCCTCGAAGTCTCCAGTGCTCAATAGTTCGCTCCCACCGCCATCAAGCAACAAACGTGTAAGTTCACGGCTGTGTTAGCAAGCGCACTAAATATATACACTGTAGCTTGGAGCCAGGCCTTTGCGGTTCACTATTTGTAAACCAGACTGACGTTACTTCTGATGTCACCACACCATCCTGAGTCCTTTCATTCAACTATTTCAGCTTCATGTGAACACAAATGAGTATAAATGAATAGTCCCCAGTAAATGCATCATTTTCTGGAGTCCTGATGGTTTTGGTGTTTTCATGGGATTTGCTGTGAGAAAACTATAGAATAACACTTGGTTTACTGTGTGAGTCCCATCACACCTGCCCAGATCTACAAGGCCTGACAGGTGGCATCAGCCTCTGATTGTGTCTTAAGGTGTTTGCTGCTGCTGTGACTGTTGTGTGGGCGACTGACTGACAGGTGAGCTCCAGCTCCTTGTTTGATTCACAGACACTGTCGGTAAACGTCAGCAGCCAATGCACCACATTCAGACTGATGTGTTTTTTCTACATAGATGCAAGTGGCTGGTCAGTTTATTAGGGACACGTGTACAGTTTAATGGAGTCTAACACAACAGCACTGCTGGGAATTTTGCTGACTCTGTCAGAAAGGCGATAATAAAACTTTATCAGATTAAAGGTGCTGTTGTACTGTGCATTATATTGAAAGATGTTTCTAATAGTTTACCCCATCACCCACAAATGATTATTTCTTTTAAGGTTTGCTTGTTTTACTTTACACCACATCTGGGCAGATGTGAGGCTGTTATGGAGAAGGAGTCCTAATTATTCAGTGGCAGCCCAAAAGAACTGCAGTCACAGTTCTACTGATTTGTTTGTGTTACGGAATGAAAACGCGAGCTATACAGTGTTACACCTGTGTTTGCTGCAGTGTTTATAGGTCAGCACAGTGTAACATCAGTTTGGTACGGCTCAGCAGATGAATACAAACCTGTCTTCATTCCAGATTGTGTTATTGAGTGTTGAATGTTTAGTATCTGATCTAATCTCCACTATTGTCACGCGTTGTTAGCTCTGTCCTGAGCACGGAAACTGATTTGGTTATGAGTAAAGAGAAAGATATTTATCTTTAGAAAGACAAAAACACTGGAGTCAAAGTGGACTGAGCGGATATTGAGCTGCTGTAAGCCTTCCTGGTTTATAGTTGGTTATTATTTGTCCCGTCTTACCGGCACTCGTCCAGCCAGTCAGGGCTTGATGATTGACAGCTGCAGGTATCTGGTCGGGCAGGTTTGTTTTCTTTTGAATTGCAACCTGTTGCTGGACCCAGACAATGTGTCAGACAGGCACAGTCACTGAGAAATGTCCTGACCCTTGAGCAACCTGCACCGTGTTCACTTCAGCAGCTTCAGGCTGCTTCTACAATCTGATCTTTTCCAAAACACATACAGAAATGTCCAGGAAAATGTAGCAAGACAGAAGACGAAGGAAGAATTTTGTCTTTATCTGACAGCTCATGACATGCCAAGTAACTCATAAAAACCTGGTGTTGAAAGCAAAATAATTTCAGATCATCCTAAGAATCCGAGTGAGAAGAAGAAACATGACTTTCCCATTGTTGGTCTAAAATTAGAAAGAATCTGAAAAGGCCTCCTCTGTAATTAGACAAAGCCATTCCATGTCACTGCAGTGTAGCATATTGACTCTTTTGTTTTGAGAGTACAAATGCTGGTGAAATGCCAAAACCAGCTGTGAGATGGATGTTGTGCACTAAGTTACTCTGATAGATTATTGATGATCTGTTGTGGTTATTGCTAGCATCAGTGACAACACAAGCCACCAACGCTCTGAATATGAAGCAGCAGTAGGAAATGATCTTTTAGCATTAGCAGTGTCTTAGTCCATCTGCGATGCGGTTACCTTACGAAGCAAAACATTGCAGAGAGAATGCAGACTAAAGAGTGTATCAAACATGGGGTTGGACTTTTTGTTTTTTTTTGTTTTTTGTTTTAAATGAAAATCTAGCGTTGGGTAAAATTTTGAATGCAGGAAATGTACTTGAGATTGTATTTTTAAATTCTCCTTTTACTTGAGTAAAGAACCTGAGTGCTTCTCATGCTACTTCTGTGCTCCCATCAGTTGATGAAGGTGTATGGAGAGGACAGTCACAGCAGGTCAGTGTGGGTTTCTCCAGGGGCTACAGCCAGGGAGGTGTGCCACATGTTGGTCCAGACTGCCCACTGCAGCGATCAGGAAAACTGGGCTCTCCTTGAAGTCCATCCCACCTTAGGCCTACGTAAGACTGCACTTTAAGACACAGTTTAAATGAGCAGCAAGTGCTAAAGTAGTCCTGTGAAATTGTGTCTTTAATGTTGGGGATTCACACATGTTCTCTTGTGTCCTCAGAGAGATGTTTGGAGGACCACGAGGCTGTGCTGGAGGTTCAGGCCACCTGGTCCCTAAAGGGCGACACAAGGCTGGTTTTCTGCAAAAACTATGCCAAGTATGAGTTCTTCAGGAAACCAGTGGTACGCAGCCTGCAGCACGTTACAGCTCAAGGAGAGCATTTTAAAATAAATGTATCTGCCTTTATTTTAAGTGACAGAACAGCTCAAGCAACAACAATGAACAAAGGAGATTTTCACACTCCTTGTTAATCACATTGTTACAGTAGATGTTGACGAGCCCTGATGTCACGGTGGCAGCTGATCCTGAGTGACTGACAGGTTGCGTGCTGGCGCAGACACATCAACAGAGAGTCACAGATATTTAATTACTTCGAGTCTGGTCTGTTGTCTGTGCTGTTCAACAAAGGTGGCAGTTCACACTGAAACTGGTTCTGATGAACCTCCCACTGGTGTCTCTGTAACTCGCGCCCATGCTGCCTCCCGAAGGCACAAACGTGAATTCAGTCATGGACTTATCACAGTCTACTCAGGAAATTAGGCTTCGACTTTCGCCAGTTGTAATGTGAGCAACACTCACAGTTGCATCAGCTGCAGTTATTTTTATTGTTAATGAATCTGCTGATTATTTTCGTGACTGATCGATTTGAAACCTATCTTCTGTTCCCAAGGATAACGTTATCTACGATGTCTGTTTGTTGTAAACTTGTACAAATCTATTTGGAGAGTATAGGAATCACAGACGGAGCTCTTCTGGATGTTGCTGTGTTTAATGCTTTTCATTGTTAGACCGAAGTCAGTTTGCTTTTTTACAGAGTCAGATTTTTATTTTTTTCACCCTCACCTGTGATGTAAAAGTGGCTGAAGAGGGAGACAGGGAAAACTGCAGAAAGCAAAGCTCACACTTTATTGTCGGATAACGACAGTTGTACATCGAGGGACTCTCTCCATTTGTGTTTGGGAGGGTGTGACAGTCGTCAATAATCAATCGATCATAGAACACCTAAGGACCAGTGATGCAGATGAAGCATCATCATAGATTAATACATATGATTTAAGAGACTTCCACACAGGAACTTGTTAGTCCAGGGCATGATTACTTGAAAAGAGAGGGAACCCTGTTACTGAAGAGTCTGGAACAATACAGTGTTTTTGCTTGAAAAATGACAGCGACGAGTGATTGAGTATCAAAATAGCGTTTTTCTGTCAGTCACTTAATTAATTATTCAAATATTTCTTGGAGCTCTGCTTTTGTTTGTGCAGATAGAAACACCAGCAGTGTGTGTGTGTCTCCCTTTGACTGCAGGAAGAAATTTGACACCAGTTGTGCACATGTGACTTTCTTTGCATGACTGATCATTTACCTAAGGCTTTGTGTGAACAATTCAGTTATTATTTTACCTCCAATACATTTTGAACAAGGGAGCATTATTCCTGCAGGTGTATTTTATCTGCATGGTCCAGAGCAGGATCTCTGCTCAGCTGCACGCTGAAGTGACAGCGCTGGAGGTGGTTTGTCTTGGGAATGAGTTTAATGGCAACCCTCTCTCTCTCTCTCCTCCCTCAGCTCTTCTTCCCAGAGTGCATGATCTCCGACAGTGCAGATGTCAGCAAGGGTATGACATCATCAGAGCTCATTCAGGTAAACCACCTGAAATCTGGAGCTCATTCACACAGACTCACCAACATACGAGCATATGATCAACTCTGGAAAGCTTCAGGCTTGATGTTGTTAATCCAAAGCAACAAAAAGAAAAATGGACAGGAGTTTCTATGCCTCCGGTAATAATTATTAAACGACGTGAAAATATAAACTTGAGAAGCGTGTAATATGAAGAGCGATGACAGTAAAGATGGTACTGTGTCTGGGTTTATGACTTTCAGTGAATCTTACCTTTTTTTTTTTTTGATTAATTTAGCCAAGTAAAATGTGGAAAAGTGTGAACAGCGCTCATCACAAGTTCCTGGAGTCAAAGGCGAAAACCTAAAATGTCTTGATCTTCACCCAAAGTTTCTTTCTCTAATATAATTATTTTCCAAGCTCATAACACACCAGTTTTTTTTTTTT